CACTTCTCATTTAAGATACAATTTCAGGGGCGCCTGGGTGGCGCAGTCGGTTAAGCGTCCGACTTCAGCCGGGTCACGATCTCGCGGTCCGTGAGTTCGAGCCCCGCGTCGGGCTCTGGGCTGATGGCTCAGAGCCTGGAGCCTGTTTCCGATTCTGTGTCTCCCTCTCTCTTTGCCTCTCGCCTGTTCATGCTCTGTCTCTCTCTGTCCCAAAAATAAATAAACGTGGTCACGAATGAAAAAAAAAATTAAAAAAAAAAAAGATACAATTTCAAACTATGAAATATAGATACACATGTATGTATGATGTGTGTGTCTTTTGCTTTCTCCTTAAACTTGCATGCAATTACTCTCTTAAAAGATCTTTGTTTTATCAGTCCCTTTAGACTTGAACCCCATCTAGTTGCCTTCAGAACATTTTAGAGCCATATTTGAACAAAACCTCAGAACATAAATTTAAGCAAGTTGAATCCTATATATGTCACATTGGGAGGATAATTGGAAGTCACAAGTATCACAGAAATTAACTTGGAAGGATGTTAGTAACGGTAATGTCCAACAGGTGTTGAACATATGCCAATCAATCAGGTTTATTAATTCTTGCAACCTACTCCTTCAATAGGCACATAATAATCTTTATTTTCCAGAAGAGGAAATGCAGGTTTGGAGAACCTGGGAGAGCTACCCACAGTAGATCAAGAACTCCCCCAAAATATTTCCTTACACTAAATCTCCTTTCTCACCTCCTTCTTTACCAACTTTCTCCCCAAGTCTTAGCCTCACTCTCTCGGTCTCTCTCCCAAACAAAAAGAGTCATCAGGTCTGCGGCAGTAACTATCAAAGGTCGGCCTAGATAGAACATCTTGTTGTGTCAGAAAGCAAGAAAATACTCAAAGACAGGCAGAAACATGCTCAAAGGGCACAGGATCCAGCTTGACAAGGGTTTTCATTGTACAAATTTAGGACCGTTTAAAAGAATACTGATAAAGGAGCCTAACATTATTGTATATGTTAAAAATCCAGTTCATAGCGATACTAAAAAATAAATGGGAGCAGAGAAGAAGTTTTCTTTACAAAATCCAGAGGGTGGAACAACAGAATGGGGAAAAATCACCACTCTGCATCTACCAGTGTAATAATTGTTTCAGAAATGAGTCACCTGTGGATGCTAACAGCATTGGGGAACATTTTTCCAAGATCAAGATATTCTCCTGGTGTCTATCACCCCAGAGGTTATCCCCCAAAGGGATAAAGGAAATTTCAATGGAGAAATCTACTGCACACCACCTTACCAAAGTGGTCAAAATTACCGTCACCCAAAATGGGACCATCTCGGACACTATTTATGCCTCCTGGTTGTGATATAAACATCACCCATGTAGTATAAATGTCTAACCTGATTCTAAAGAACCGCGAGGAAAAGAAATCAGATATATCCAGAAAATGACACATTCTACAAAACAACTGGCCTAAGCTCTTCAAAAATATCGGTTCCACGACAGATGAACCAAAAAAGTTCGGGAGCTGTTCTAAATTAAGGGAGCCTAAAGAGATAGGCAATGAATGGCCATGTATGATCCTTGCTCGGGTTTGGGATTTGAAAGAAAAAAATTCCGAGGACATTAGTATGACAAATTTGAATATGAACTGTATAGTAAATATTATTGTATCAATGTTGTATTTCTTGGATTTGATAACAGAATTATGGTCATGAAGGAGGAAATCCATGTTCGTAGGATGGGGAATATTTAGGAGTAAGTATCCTCCTGCCTATAACTAATTCTCTAATGGCTCAGTAAAAATGGAGGGCTTTATATCTGGAGAGGAAGCAAGAGAAATTCAGCAAATGTGGCAAAATGTCAACACCTGATGAGGCTAAGTGAGGTGCTGATCATATATTACTCTTTCGAGTGTATTCTGAAATTTTTCAAAATGAAAAGTTGGGGGAATAAACCACAGTTTTCAACCACAGAAGTTTGCTCACATTGCAATGCTACAGGCCAGCTGTGGTTCAGCAATTTCATTCCGCAATCCAAACGGCCCCCCCCCCCCCCCCCCCCCCCCCCCCCCCCGGCCACCCCCCACCAGCCTGGGACCAGCCTGGGACCAGCCTGTTTACCTGGCGGAGGGAAGGGAGAGTTTGGTCTGCTCAGTGCACTGGTTCTTGAAATCTTCTCAGGCTCACTAGCTCTCGGCCTCGTGGTCCCCTAGCCCCAGCAATTTCAATGGCCGAACCCAGTGGCAATCCAGTGGGCAGTGTATGCCTTCTTGGGATCTGGCGAATGAGGTTATCGAATTCAAGGAGAAAGATAACTCACTGACATCTAGAATCCAATAGCTCGGTTACCCACCCAACACTGGTTATTTTCCCAAGATCACTAGCTGATAAGGGACTCCAGCTCAGATCCATCTCCAAAAGTCATGCTTTGTTTTTCTCTCAAATTCATGTGTTTTTTTAATGAAAACATTTGATTTTACATTTTCAAATTGTTATACATTTATTTGCTTGAAAACTCAAGAAAATATATAAGGTATACCTTGAAAAGTTTCTCTCCCAGTTCTTATCCCCATTCATCCCCAAAACCTCACACAGGCTATCACTGTTACTAATTTTTTGTGTATCCTTGAGAGTTCTGGGTGCCTCTATCAGCTAACCCAAATGTATAAACTTATTTCCTCCCCCTTTACAACCTAAAATGTAACATACCAAACACATAGTTCTTTGCCTTGCAAAGCTGTGCTTTGAATCAATGTCAA